AGAGTAGTGGAGTGAGGCCAAAGACGCTCCGGAACGACGCACGGCCACGTGACCTCCGAACTGACACACGCCAGCCAAGAGATAGAAACCTCCGAAGTGACGTGCACGAGCCAAAGGAAAAAAAAAGACGCTAACCGGGACAAAGGGCCTCGCTCCACTATGCTGGGCTACCACGCCAGTTACAGGACGTACAGGATAGGAGAGTTAGGCAGATTAGAGGCTATTGTAATGACCTGACCAAACACGGACTGAGACGCACAGCTGATTCCTGAGTTTTGCTCATGGACTGAATGCCTTGCTCAGTTTCCCGCTTGTTACAGAGTTCTCTAAATCTGTGTGTGTGCACGCTTGCTGATCTGCATATCTGTCTGAGTGCTTGTCGGCTTGAGTGTGTGTGTGACCCGCAAGGGCACTTGTTCGTTCAGTGGGCCCGAAGGGCCGGTACTTACCTGTGGCTGTGACATTGAGGATTGCAGAGGGGGAAAAACACTAAGTGGCGGGGAAAGAGGCCTGTGACACTTGAAGCAGCGTGAAACACTCAAGTAACAGGTAGGCTGGTACCACATCATTTAGAGGTAGATGTGCCGGGTACTTGAGTCCAAGCAGAAGAAGACAAAAGTTGGCATTTTTAGAGGCCCAGTAGTTATAGGCTAGGTCTAGACTGGTACCAGTTCAACCAGTCTGAGTCTAGGGCCCGTACGGGCAATATCAGAGTCTGCAATGATGTTTCCCTCCGAAAGGGAGGAGGTACCGGTTCCTTGGGAGGCCGAGCGGCCTGGAAGTCACCGCCCAAGAGGCAAGTAGGCCACTATATCTTCAGGCTGAGCCAAGAGCTCAGCCTCATTCTCGGTGTGCAAGTTTGGCGAAACACTGGTTGGAGCGCTGGCTGCAGCAGCGCCAGCAAGGAGCAGTGCTGCTGGGGAGGAGCAAGGACAGGAGGAAGAAGACCAGGACTAGGAGGGAGGAGCACCAGAGGTACTTACCTGGCTATGGTGGTTGCCATCTTCATCACCTTGGTGGACGCTGCAGCAAGAAGGCCCCCATGGGGGTAGGGCTACACCAAGAAGCTTCGAGGCAGAGTCAGGCATGGTGGCCTAAGCTAGAGCAGCCATAGCTGCTTTGGGTTGTCCTTCAGACATCAGGGAGAGGCCCTAGTAGTCCGCCATAGCCTCGTCCTTGGACGAAGGAGGAGGAAGGGTGGCCATGGCTATGGTGGACCTCATGTGATACCTGCAGTAGAAGAGGAATTCGGACATTGATTCTAGTTCAGCCATTCAACATTATTATTAGCATTTCTTGTGTGAATAAGAGAGGAGGAGATAAGGAGGAGGAGAGTGGCTGGCAAGAAGAAGAGCATTATCATTGTCCATGCTGGTGTACATCATCTTCTTCTTCTTCTTTCTTTCTTCTTCATTCTTTCATCTTCTTCTTACCCTCTCTCGCCTCTCAAGTTCATTCATTTCTTTTCTCAATTGGACGGCATTGTACTTTCTGATGAATGTGTACTTCGAAATTGGACAGGATCATAACACTATAGATGAGTTGACACTTGATCCTGCTGCTGTTAGGTCCCTTTGAAGCACTCTTTTGAGTGTGGCCGAGGTACAGGCCGTGCAGCAAGAACTGTTGGCTGCTCTGATAGCTGGCCAGAATCAGATTCTGGCTGCGTTGCGGGCGCCTCGACCTATGGTGAGGCCGCTGCAAGCTGCTGTAGTTCCCCCTACGGTTGCAGGTCCATCGATGATGCGGCCACCAATGGGACAGCCTGTTTTCCAACAGTTTGGCATTAGTCCACCGAGTGGTTTATCCTGTACAAGCTTCTTTGCTTCCCCATCCAGCAGCTGCAGCTACAGGGAAGCCGCATGTCCAGCAGCCTTTGCAACAGGCGCTGCAACAACAGCAGGTGCCGCAGCAGCAGCCTGTCCCACCGGTTTCCCAACATATGCAGCAGGCACAGGGTACTGGACCGTCAATGCAATGGACGCCCAAGATAATATTGTTGAGTCCTAAGCCCTTCTCTGGCGACAAGAAGAAGAAAAAGGACTTGGATACTTGGGTGAGGACAGTGCCCATAATGTTCTGAAAGCGCAAAGAATATGCTCCAACATACAGTCAAGAAACTTCTGCACAGAGATGACAGTCCTGAATCGTCGATGATCACACCTTAACTACAATATGGCGAAACAGCTGATTGAAAAGACAGTCTTGGCTGTCTTGCATCATTGACGACCAGATTTGACATGCATACACAGTCCCACAGATGAATTGCACACCACTAAATGTGCAAGTGCATTTTACATGTTCGAAAAACTTCTGCCAACATTCAAGATACACACTAAGCACTTGTGTAGTATTGTCAAGAGATGAGGGTGATAATCTGAGGGTACTGGTGTGTGAGGCCAGAAATATATAGTCTTGGAAGTAGTCCTTGGGCAGTGTTACGTGCCCAGTTGGGCGATGTACATAATAACCGAGGATCCGCAATGTGATAAACAGGACTGAATGGACAATGCAGTGCAAGTGGAATCTCAACAAGCAATGTGCATTCCGATACATACAAAATGGTGCTTTATAGCGCAGGGAAGACTTTAGATACAAGTCCTGACCTGACCGGGACTGACCTCTATCACGTAGTACAAGACAGCGCAACAGAATGCTAGGATACCACTGACTAGCCCAATCAACGTTGCAACACAGACCAAACATACATCATGTTCATCACAAGGTGTGAAGGGCCTGGTGCTATACACAGGAAGGAGGCGCCAGGTCCAGACATACACAGATGAAGAGGAGGGGATCAGACGAAGAAGAGGAAGGGGGAGATGGGAAAGTCGTCAACAGGCTCTCTCTCTCTCTCTCTCTCTCTCTCTCTCTCTCTCTCTCTCTCTCTCT